CGTCCCAAAATCCAACTCGCAAGCTCGCTGTGTGTAATTTTTTGACACAATGCTTGACAATTTGTTTTAATTAGATGCAAACATTCGCAGCGAGCTTGCGAGTTGATTTTGCGTTGAGAGGAGAAGAGCTTTTGATGAGAGAAAAAGACGTTTTTAGATTTTTTAAATATTAGTAAACTCAGGTAACACTGGTTTATAGTATCAGTTATTTAAGCCATATGCAGATGATTTTATAAAATTCGGTGGTTAAAGCGGAAATTGTTGTGTTCTACAGGGTGTCTCAAAAAACCCGAAAACAATTGAAATCACCCATAACAATGTAATTGTTAGAGTTTGAATGCCTAAGCACCCAGTTGGGACCCATAGATGTATAAATGTTCGCCATAAGCATTTTTATGCATGCATATGATGCAGTAAAATTTGTTTGTATGCAAAAATGATATTTATTAACAATATTAATTTTAAGGATTAAAGCACTCTGTGAGTGCACTATCGGGTTTTACATGCACGAGTTCACAAACAAGGAACGAGAAGTTCAATACTCCACGAGGCGAAGCCGAGTGCAGTATTGAACTTCGAGTTCCTTGTTTGTGAACGAGTGCATGTAAAACCCGATAATACACAAACAAAGAGTGCTTTAATGCTTTTAATATTCATTTTGAGTAAACTCGTAAAGACTTTGTATCATTTTAAAACTTAAATAAACAACACATGCATACCTTTAAATACTAAAACACCCTAACCGGTTCCCCGTTTGGTATTGTTTCGGTGTGGATTCATCTATAATTACATTAATTTCTTTTTAACTAAGTTCGGCAAATTTTTTGTTTATTGCCGCCATTTTGATCGTGCAATAAATCCTATAATGGCACTGCCGTGGCGTTGTTGCTATGTAAAATTCACTCACGTGGTACAAATCGACCAATCAGAACGTAAGTTTACAAAAAATGAATATTAATTACAATTTACAAATATGGACAAGAATATATAAATGTGCATCTCAAGCACCATGACCTTCGCCATGTCCCCTTTCTGTAGCAACACAAAGCATTAAGTTGCATTGAGTCCCACTGCATTCAAATTTTAACAATCAGTTAAATAGTTTTCGATTTTTTGAGACACCTGTATAGCATAATAATACGTATAATTCTCATTATGTATATATTATGTACTGTATGTTCCGAATTCCTATATTAAAGTTATAATAAATTATACTTATATTAATTGGCGACTTCGATGCGCCACTAACTTCTAGCAAGATTCATGGTCCCTTGGTTGCAGGATGGCCTCTTTCCAGTGGAACCATAGAAATATGAAGGAAGCCAGGTCAATGCCTTCATTTAGGGCGTGTTCACATGGAGCGAGTTATCCCGGCTAGGCGAGGTAAAAAGCACATCACATCAAAGGCTAAACCTGATTAGTCTCATTATAATTATGCAGTTTTCACCTCGCCTAGCTGAAATAACTCGCTCCATGTAAACTTAACAGAACCTTATTCAATGGGTAGCGAAGCGGATGATCATATTGAACAGTCCCTCGGTACTGCGGAAGGCAAAGTAAGAAATACAATGTAGTTAAAAAGAAACTAGGAGATTTCTTCATCATCAAGAGAAATGTAATCGTTGAGCGAGAAAAGTTCAATTCGCAAAGCAAGCAGACGAGGAAGGGGAGAACGTCGACGTGTTTATTAGCTATATTTAATCTTGCGGAACATTGTGATTTCAGCTCTTCGCAAAGAGCACTAATCCGGTACTGTTGTTGGAATCCGAAATAAAGCTTTGTCGGAAAAGTTACAGCTCGAAGCATGCAAGGTCAGCATTGCAAAAAGCTGCGAACTTCGCTCGGCAGAAAGAGGCCGTCAGAAAGCAGCAAGGCTTCCTTCAAGGAGACGGTAAACCGGCAGCAAATCAACTATCTGGGCGTAGGGAAACTAGCACCAAGAAAAAAAATGTTAAGGAGTTAAGCCTCTGTGACCGGCAAGACAAATTAAACAAAGGCAAGACAAAATGTAGTAGGTACTTAAACTATGCATCCTAAGAAGTAAGAAAAGTTTCCCTGCAGCGAACGATTCAAAATGTGGCATGTTTGGTCGCTGGAAAGGAGCTTCCAAAAGCGTGCATCGTAGTCAGTGAAGTCAAAGATACATGCAGGTGAGATCTTTCCAAATGAGTTTTTCCTAGGCGAAATAGTTGTGGAAGGCTTTGAAGCTGAACTTTTGAAGCAAACCTTACAGTTATTGATTGTAAATTAAATTCAATTAAAGATTCATTGGCCCAACTTATGCCAGGGACGGATCATTAGGCTAGACGAACTTGGCTTACTTAGGCCAACAAAATCAAAATAGTTCGTCTTCTATACAGTTCGTCCGTGTGAAACACGGGTAAACAGGCGGATCATTCGTCAACACGAATTATCCGCATAGACGAATATGAATAGGTGGATAACCTAAAAGAATAAATTTACGTTGAGTCATTTAAGTTGACTCATTCAAGATAATTCAAGAGAGTTGTAAGAGTTTTATTTAATTTTGACTTATCGCCTGTTTAAGCTAAACATGCAGCCAGATATATATATATACAACCGGACCTAGAAGTAAGCCAATATAAGCAATAAATAATAGATGCCAAATTGTTTGAGGACTTGTTTGAGAACCCGTTGCTTTGAAATTACTAAAGGAAAGTACTGTTCCCCTTATTAGATAAAACTAAGAAATTGAGGGAATGTTGAAATTAGGTGTGATTTAAAAAGTAGCTAGATCAACTGTCTGAATGGTGCGCCCCTTGTGATCATTGCAAAAGAAAGTGAGGATGTTCGAATGTATGTTGATTTGACCTGGGCCGTAGCTAGACCGCGAGAAAATATATACATGTGGGGTTTATGATTAAATTTAACGTTTATATACCGTAGGAACAATAGCGTATACAAAAGAAATCAGCACGCATAAGACGAATAATATACGAATATTCACCCCCCCCCCCTATTAAGCTTATAGCCACGGCCTTTAGTGACTGCCATTAGTTGATTTCGCAATAAGAAAATTATAAAAATCTAAGGCCTGTTTCATACGTCCCATTTCGGTCGCGTCGAATGCAATTCAAACAATAAATAATGAGATGGCAATGAAGCTTAATGAGGTTTATCAGCTCTAAAATGCGATGTATAACCTAGGTCTCAAATAGTGTCTTTTAGCAAAGAAAGCTTTCAAAATCCTCTCATTTTCCAACTACATTCATAACATGCACCTTGGGGACGTTTTTGTTTTAATCGGCTTTCGCATGGCACTTCTACGCACTGCAAGTGGGCAATTTTAGAAATGACCTTTAGAAATCAAACTATTGTTATAATTTCAATGCCTGATCAATTTTCTAAGCCCACGGGTGCACAAACATGCACAATGGAATAAAATCTAAAATACAGGGTGTCCCAAAAAAAACGAAAACTACAGGGTGTATCAAAAAAAGGAGACCTTTAGAAATCAAGCTATTGTTAAAATTTGAATGCTTTTTCAATTGCATTTGCACATATGCTAAACTGTAGTGCGTGAAATATTGATGGCATGCATGCATACATTAGAAAAAGGAGACCTTTAGAAAATGAATTGACGTTTGTACACAAGATTGTCTGCTCCTGGGAATTTGAAAATAACTTTAATAGCATAAGGAAAAATAACGACCCAAAAATATTTAAATGACTAAGCACAAACGACTAAGCACAAAAGCGATAACAGTATGCGTGCATGGTAAATTGCTTTAGCTGTTCCTTCAAAACATGAACAAATCATTTGTTCATTAATTTTTAACACTGCGTGCGAGCATTAGGGCTGTTCACATGAGTTAGAATTGACTTTGAATCCGGAATGGCTCAGCATCCCATTTTACAAACTCTGCCTATTAAAATGTTTACATGAGTCAGGAATGAATTACAACTTGATCTGACACAGATTCACTTGACATTTCGATCCGGATTGAAAATTACTGATAAATTGAACATCAAAAGAACTGAATGTCATGGACCATGACCTCCAACGTGGCCTCCATTTCTCTCAACACAAACTACCGTACGCTTGTGCATATCGCGAACCGCTTTTCTGATGACGGCAGGCTGGGTATAAGTTAAGACTACAAAAACTCTTTGCTCCGAAGTCAGTTGAACCATTTTTGTTCTGGTAGTGTGCTTAGTCATTTGAATATTTTTGGGTCGTTATTTTTCCTTATGCTATTAAAGTTATTTTCAAATTCCCGGTTCAGCATATGTGCAAATGCAATTGAAAAGGCATTCAAATTTTAACAATAGCTTGATTTCTAAAGGTCTCCTTTTTTTTGATACACCCTGTATTGAAATCACCCATAACAATGCCATTGATAGAGTTTGAATGCCTAAGCACTCTGTTGGGACCCACAGGTGTATAAATGTTTACCATACTCATTTTTATTCATGCATATGATGCAGTAAAATTTGCTTGTTCGCAAAAATGATATTTATTAACAATATTTACAATTTACAAATACGGATAACAATATTTAAATGTGCATCTCCAGGACCATGACCTTCGACATGTCCCTTTTCTCTAGCAACGCAAAGCATTTAGCATTTTATAAGTTGCATTAAATCCCCACGAGCTAAAATTCGTGAACACGGCATTCAAATTTTAACAATGACTGATTTCAATAGTTTTCGTTTTTTTTGGGACACCCTGTAGAATTTTCAATTAAAATGATGTAGCTATATTACACGTGCCACTTAAAAATTTGTTAACATTTGTGTTCAAATGGGCAAAACCACGCTCAACACCGTAGAGATTTTCGTAATATATTTGTATTTATTTATATATTCTAAAATTTTTGCGTTTGATTAGATTATATGGATTATATGATTGATTGGTGAATAAAGAACTTAACACAATACAAATAAAGATTATAATACCTGAAGAGTGGGTCTCTAAGAGAGTGGGTCTCTCTTGAAACAGCACTTCATTTCATGCATAAGCACAAACTCGATCTCATTGCTCTTTTCCTAATATTTTATAACTGTCCCGAATCAAATTAAAATTTACACCTATTTTATTGCGAGCAAATCATGTTGAATCAATGTGTAATCAAGGTAAATTAAATATGACGTAACATATATAATTAATAAAGGATGTGAAGTTCTGTCCGAAACAATTTGTTTAAAGTTTATTTATCGCATATAAGCACAAATATTTACAATCGCCAACAGAAAGAATATATCAACGTCAGTGTTATAGTGAGCCTTGCAGACCGTTTTGCTTCTCTAGATAAATAATGAAAAAAAACCAATTAAACATGTTTCAAGAATTTGAGGTCATATTTATTAGGGTTTTATCCAGAGAAAAATAAAACAAGTAAAAAAGAATAACTCTGTATGCACGAGACCTCTGTAATCGAATAGTAATATACGTAAACACTTCTATTTTCGAAGAGTTGTTTAGCTTCTTTTCTTATCACAGAGTTCTGGTCAAAGATTCTATATTCGTATTGGCATTTTTGTGGTCCATCTTTTCTGTAAGAATTGTTGTTTATAACAGTTATGCTAGAAATACATACATGCAGCAACCCATGGCCTCGGTTAAACGAAATTAGTTAAGCCTAGGGATGGAAAATAGTTGTTAGAAAATTTATGTGATTGGGAGTTTTGGAGGGTACATGGTATGTGAGAAAGGGAAATTGAGAAAAGTATGGAAATATTTTTCTGCACGTGGAAACACTGTAGTCTCTGATAGCAACTCGCAACAGCTGTAAGTTTGAGATTAAATAACTTTTAAACTTGTTGGTACCTCCAGTTTCTTGAGTGTTTGAACAGATCATATATCACATAACAAATTCATATTTATTCATATTCATTTATTTGTGAAATACATTTGAGAATATTAAAGCTGTGCTTACCACAAAAGAATTACTTTTTAAAGCTGTGCCGGATAAAATATTATCAAGTGTAGAATCTTTCGACTTCATTATACACGGTGAATTTGATCGAAAGTTTGGTCTTGTTATTTGTTAAACCGTGAAAAGTCCTGACCACATTCGAGTTTCCCTCTAATTCAAGTTAAAAATACATATAGTCCATTTATTCAGTTATTGTTCAGTTATTCATTGACGCTTGAAAATACAAATTTTTGTCTCGACCAATCAAGAGCTCAGTAAGTTCATACTAGCGCATGCGCATAACGTATGCGCATGCGCATAATGGCGTGAGGTCCATTGTATAATGGTGGACGACTTTGATTCTGCATTTGCACATTGTGGGTGTAAATATCCGAGCGGAATTAGTAGCCTCGCACGGTGCTCCCGGGGATTAACTGATTATTGAGCTAGCGTGAGGTCTGTACAGACCAAACAAATTAGGTCAATAATCTGTTTGATTATGCGGCTGAACTGCATGAAACATCCGGGATACTGGTCCAGATACGGAATATTCGGATCAGGGTCCGGATATGGGTTTTTACGTGCAGCTTATCAACCAATCAGAATAGAAGATTTTGTAAAATTCCTGTCAAAACGTGTAAAATTTATATAATTTTGTTACTCGATGTTTTTGAAATCAAATTTCTGAAATCATTGCATGCTTGCTCAAACTCCTTAATATGTCCGCTAAATTTTGATGCCCGTGATCCACAGCTAATGGACGACTTGGCACGGACTTGCACTTTAGACTAATTTTTGATCGAAGTAACCAGAAGAAAATGACTCATCACAGTCAGAAAGATCTTACTTAAACAAGACGCCTGTTCTGGTGTTAACTCCGGCGTGCCGTGCACGTGCCAGTCTTCATTATAAAGCTTCTGAACATAAACAATACAGTTCATATTCATTTAGATTCCGTGCGAACCTAAATGTTATTCGATCGCGAAATTCAGAAGCACATCGTACTTTAAAAAGTATAGAAGTTCAATTGTTCAAAAACGTAAATAAACCGCATGATACGTTCACTTTGTTTTACACTTTGCCTTTAGAATTCTCGTGTATTATACCGCTTGTAATACACCATGTATTACAAGCGTTATTCTAAAATATATTAAGAATTGTTTATTTATTATCAAACATTTTCAATCGCCACAACAGGAAGGATATACCAACCTCAGTTTATGAAGTAGGCATCGCAGACCCCATTCTATATAAATGATACAAATATATAACTATTATAAAAATGTTTTTGAGGTAATATTTATTACGGTTTCATCCGGAGGAAAGGTCATGCATTCACAGAAGGCCTACTGGTATTTTATAGACTGACTAAATAATTATGTAAAAAAGTAAAAAAGAAGAATTCTTTACGCACGAGACCTGTTTACTGCAAAACACCATATTATTGAAGTTGTTTCTTGCAACACAATTCGAGTCACAGATTTTATAATTGAATGCCCGTTTTTGTCGTCCATGTTCC